CCCCAAAACCCCAAAACCCCAAAACCCCTCCTTAAATATCACATATTGATATAAATATTTTGTGTGGGAAATAAATAAAAATGTGGAAGAAGTTTCCTCCGACAGACTGGAGGTCTATTGACCCCCTTGCCTTTAACTACTTCTCTACTCTACTTCAGAGTAGAGTAAATGTGTTCCTGTATGGTATGAATGGGATTGGGAAGACCAAGTTTGCCAAGAAATGTCTAGATGTTAATAATATAAAGTATTGATACGTAGACTGATTTGAGTATTATAACGAAAAACTCATGTGTTATACCATTTCTAACCAGCTAGGCCTGATGGATAACTACTTTAAGGACTCTAAGACCTTTGTAGCTCTTAAGGACAACCTTCTTACCTGGAAGGAGGATGAGATCAAGTTTAAAAGTAAGTAACTCCTCTGAAGCTTTAGTCAAAGAAATTTCACCTGGTAACCGCAAGAAGCCGATCTACATTGTGCTAGATAATGTTGAGAGAATCATCGCTATTGAAAGAATTAAAAAGAACTTAGAGAAGATCTTTATCGTTGCAGATATGGTTTGCCCCCTTCTAAGTATCCTGATAATCCATGATACTTACATTGAAGAAATTGATGCATTTAACAAGTCACTATTTAATGAGTATAACTTTACCCCATTCGTGCTGAATCCAATGGAAAAAGACTCTATGAGGGAAGTCCTGAAGGAGAAGTACTTCACCAGAGAAAACAATGATGGAGAAAAAGATAAGTTTGATGACTTCTTCAGCCTTCTCTACCAGCAGCTTTCTAAACAGACTGTGAACCTTAAGAAGTGGCTGTTCATGACAAAGCTCTTGTTCGAGCCATATTGTGATTTTAGAAACAAGAGGAATAAGATGAACTTTATGAGATTCCAGAAAATCCTTTCTCACATCTGCACTCATTTCTATTCCAACATTATTGACATTAAATCCATTGAGGAAGAAATAGAGAGGAAGGCTGAAGAAGAGAGCCAGAAGAAGGCTGAGACTAAACAGAAGGAAGAGCTACCCATTGACGAGAACTCAAATCCTACCTTCAAGCCTCACAAAGTAACTTTCTTTGATGAAATCAGAAATGGGAATAAGACTAGTTATACCTTTGTCGAAGCGATGATCTTGTTATCTGGACTAATTGCCGCCCATAATAAAGAATCTAACGATGAAAATAATTTTGGGCTGTCCAGAACTTCCAAAAAGAAGACGAATAAGAGGATAAAGACCGGTGAGCAGATTAATAAAATCACTCACCTGGAGTTAGGCAAGACTAAGAAGTTCTCAATGGAACGAATGTTGACTATCTTCCAATATTTCCTGTGCCATTTCTGTGATGCTTCAGAGGAAGCGATGCTGTATCACCACTCTATTAATGTATACTCTAAGATAAACACGTTTGTGAGTGAGAACCTATTCAAGAGGTCCCAAGGAAGGAACGAGGACCCCTCTGCAGTCTCCTTGAAGATCAACTATGACAAGCACTTTGTAGAAGAAGTCCTAAAGCAATTCCCGGACATCAGGCTGGAAGACTTCTTAGAGGGCAGATAAGCGTAATTATTCAATAAAAGCTATTTTAAGAGGGGTTTTGGGGTTTTGGGGTTTTGGGG